AACATTCCTGAAATTTACTATGCCATCTTATATAATGCCATTTTTGTCAGAGCTACGCCAGTAATATTTTTTTGATGTAAAAGTGTTTGTCTACATAGATTTGTAAAAGCTGTTCAAAATAACAAGACGCGATATACGTGCGTACGTATTTTGCAATACGGCACGGTAAGCAAAAGAGATAAGTCGCAAACTGGCATCAATAGTGTCATAAGTCAAAAATCATAACTGGGTTTAGTTACGGCCGGCTGATGCTATGAGTGATACTTAATTTCCAAAGTGATGTGTGATGTCACATTACACTGTCGCGTGACATCAGAACATTGTAATATTACTCGCATTACTTATATGTCTCTTTTATTAAACGTGTTTAGTAACTTGTTAATATTACTGCATACATTAAAAGACTGTTACTATTTGTTCCATCGGTTCTCCAGCAGCGCTGGCATGAGACTTGTCAACCTAAGTCTCAGAGTGCGCGGGCGCAGTAGCAGTGCCCATAAGATCTTTACGATTAAAGCTCTGAATGGCACTGCAACTGTTATGGATAGGCGTGTCGGTTACCACCACGCGCACGAGTTGTTCGTCACGTCACTCGATATAAATCATCTTAAATGCCATTATACAAAGAAAAAATACTAGGTGCCAATATCTCGACCACTTACCAAAATGCAAATGTGTTAGTTATGACAAGGAGAGCAGAATGGTAAACTTAATTATTTTGCCGATTGTAGCGGCAAGGTTCTTTACGATTGGCAGCACTTTGATTACGAAGGAATTATGAATGCGCGGATAAAACGTTTGTCCAAGTTCCAATTTTAATTTAGACGCAAATGGGCGCAGGTCTCTTTGTTTGCGATGACTAGAGATATGACAGTGCGCCCTTGAATTTATTCAATACAAATTTGTAATTATATTTTTTTATACTTCAAATACGTTACCATCGGAAAAACATAAGAACTCGATGTATAATCTTTTGTTGTCATTGAATATCACGATGTTTTTACTACTTATATTCATCTACTTTTAAGAAAATACTCCACTAGTTTATTATTATTAGTCAAAGATCGAACACTAAGAAAAAAAAATCCTGCAATCTGACTGGATTCGAACTAACGTCTAACAACAAACCGTGGCAGACGCTATGCCAACTAAGCCCGGAACGAACTAGCGGACCATACGATTTTTTCTGTGCTTGTTGCAGATCTTTAGTTTTTGGTTTTTAACGAATTTTACCGTAGCGCTATTTGTGAGAAATCTATTTTCTTTTTCAGCCAGGTACCTTTACAGTTACCAGCAGCTGACTAGAGATTTTTTTATTTTATTCAATAGCTACTATTCATCGAGTCGATATCATAAGTGTATTGTGATACAAAGTAACTAGTATTCAAAAAACAATCTTGTTCAGCATTATTGTGAAGTGACAGAGACGAGAAAGTGGCGCTAGATCTTATTGGACAATGACTCTCGTTCGCACGATTTAGTCAGCACTCACTTGCGAAATAGTGTGGATTTTGTTTTGAAATAAATGTTCACATACTGTGAAATTACATTTTACATTGTTGTGAGTCTCATCAGTGGGTCAAAAACTGTGGTAGCCTAATAAAAATAGTCGCAGTACGTTCCATCATCATCAAACCTGCTGGGTACGTCTCACTACTGGGTATGGGTCTCCTCTTAGGCGAAGGTTTCGACCATAGGACTCACTCAAAAGTGCAGGCGCGGGCGCGTCGGCGGGAGCGGGTGCGGGCGCGTGGATCTTGGCGTCTTCACTTTCATAGTGCCGCGGCTACGAGCGGGTAGAGCCACACGTCGAAATCGCAAGCAAACGCTAGACGCTAGATCAAGCAATGTAAAAGGTAAGGGCGGACAGAGCCAATTGACCGACACGCGCGACAGCGGGCACCCGCGGCCGCAGCCGCCACGACATAGGCGCTGGCACGCGTGGTCACTGTGAACGCATTGAGCGTCTAAGTATATTTGATTTACCCGCGCCCGCACCCGCGCCCGCACCCGCGCCCGCACCCGCGCCCGCACCCGCGCCCGCACCCGCGCCCGCACCCGCGCCCGCACCCGCGCCCGCATCGCCCCTCTGAATAAGACCATAGTCAGCCACGCTTTGGCATTGCGGTTTGGGGACTTCACACGTTTTCCGAGTGTTGTGAACCTTCTTCAACGTGCAGGTATCATCACGATGTTTTCCTTCACCGAAAATGTCATGGTAAATTTCAAATTAAATTTCGCACATAAATCCCAAGAAACTCAGAGGTGCGACCCCGAATTTGAACCTACGGCCTCAGGTCAAACCAATACGCTACCACGCGTTTATCTTCAGTATAGTTTAGTAAATAAATATTATTTCCCTTAACTGCCTACGGTTTGTTATCGGATCTCGTCTCTCAAAACAATCGGATACAAGTCACATTAAACTAAATCGCATAATAACCCATTAAAATCTAGTTAGGAGTGTGAACTAAGTTAACGAAGGCTCGGGTTATTGTGTTTATATTGATTAATGGACGGATAATTTGTTACGAAGTTTCTGATCAATATTCAAAATGTTGAAAATTAAATTTAAATTGAGATAGTGAGTTATGAGTAGTCTAGACATACGTCACGGCCTTTTCCTAGTGGTCGCAGTTGTATGACTGTCGTGCCTAGCTGTTTTTTTCTGTTTGTGTCACAAACAGAAATAACCCTGAAGAGAGTTTCTGACTGAGGACGATTAACTTAGTCCAATTTAAGCCCTCGAAGACACAAGTTTGCGCGTTCACCGATAAAAAGACTTCACTTGCTGCAGACCTTCGGTTTCAGAACAAGCCATTAAATATATCGGAGAGTCTCGGGATCCTTGGTGTCGACATCTCCTGAGACGTTGTTCCGTAGTCACTTAGATGGCAAAATCAAGCTGGCGTCCAAAAAGCTCGGTGTGCTCAACAGGGCTAAGCGGTATTTCACTTCGGAGCAGATTACTGCTATTTTATAAGTCACAAGTCCGTCCCCACATGGAATACTGATGCCATCTTTGGGCGGGAGCTCCCGGATGCCAGCTTGGGGACTGTGACGCGGTTCAAAAACGTGCTTTGAGAATTGTTGACGATCCTGCACTCACAGACGATATTGAGCCACTGTCTGCGACGAGAGACTTTGCCTCCCTATGTGTGTTCTACCACCTGTACAATAGCCAATGTTCTGAGGAACTGTTTGACATGACCAACAGCAACATTTTATCATCGCACCGCTCGCCACAGGCTGGGAGTCCATCCTCACACTTTGGAACCGAGTCGATCTTGTACTATACGGTTTCAGAGGAGCTTCTTCCCACGTACAATTAGATTGTGGAATGAACTCCCTGTCGGGGTTTTCCCGCAGGAATACAGCATGGAGTCCTTCAAAAGAGGTTTGAGAAGAGGTTTTGCAATGCGCTCGCGATGCCTCTGGTGTTGCAGGCATTCATAGGCGACAGTGACCGTTTTCCACCAGTCGGGCCGTATGCTTGTTTGCCGCCTTTAAGTAGGCGTACAAAAAAAATTATGTTCCCATATGACGACTATCTGTCGTGACTGTGTCGTGGACGTTTATTTAATCGTCAAAAGACTGTCGTGTCTAGCTGTTCACTAGATCGTGACAACAATTTATCGGTGCACGTGCCGACAACGATAAATAAAACGTGACGACAAGACAATCGTCGTCATATTTTTATAGTGACGATTTATTTATCGTCTAACGACTGACGTTCTAGCTCTTCCCATTGTCTCGACAGTCTGTCGTCGTAATGTCAAAAAACTCGTGAACGACAGTTTAATCGTGTTGTACTATACGTGAGGCGCACTATGAGTTTCCGGAATGAATAAGAAAAAAATACTAGAAATGGTCAGAAATGAATTTATTGTTGCTCAAAATATTCTCCGTTAGCGTTAATGCACTTTTTCATACGAATGAACCAATTTTGAAAACGTTTATGCCACTCCTTCGTGACAATCTCTGAAACATATTTTTCATACTCTTCGACAGCCTCTACAGGTCATTAAAATCGTTAACCGCGTAACTGGTTCTTAATTTTTGGAAACAAATAAAAGTCACAAGGTGCTAGGTCGGTACTGTACACGGGATGGCTCTTAAGGTCAACGTTGTTCAGCTTCAAAAATTCATTTGTCTGTCTAGCCGTGTGAGAACTGGCATTATCGTGGTGCAAGATGATAATGCGTTTACAGTTATTTTTACGGAGTTTGTCAATAACTTCCGGCAAACAAATGGTCGTGTACCAATCACTATTCAAGGTACAACGATTCTCCAAAGCAACAGTAACCACATGTCCAGTTTTATTTAAAAAAGAGGCAATCATCCGATTAGAGGCACTTTGAGCGCGCGCCACTTTGGTTGGTTTCGGCTTATCTCGAAAGACCCATACGCTCGATTGCTTCTTTGTTTTGGGATCGTAACTATGAATCCATGTTTCGTCACCTATGTAAGTGGGCAGTTCCGGAAACTTATGGTGCGCCCTATGTATGTGAACAACTACATTTAAATATACAAGCTACGACACTTTAAACTGCACGACTATCTGTCGTCGCGACAAAATGGGAACGAGCCCTTACACATACATGTTCGAAATCAAGAAAACAGACCAATGTACCTGTATTTTTGTAGAAATATATTTTAACTGGCATCAATAATCAGAATTTTTACTATAAGTAATATTCGACGTTTATTATGTTAAAAACACCATTATCGAAGAATTTTCTTATGAAATTCGGTACATTACAAAGAAACTTGGTTAACTGTCTAATGCCTGGCCTATTAATATAGAACTACTTTTAACATAATCTCGAAAGTCACGTTGTTTCGATATTTTCAAGACCGCATCTAGTCTCGATTTTTTCCTCAGGACGCAGAAATGCACCGAGACTGAAAGCCTTAGACGGTAATCTCAGTTGAAGCTACTTTCTTAAAGAAGCTAGTAAGAAGATAACGTCAAACATAATGAGATAAGCAGTACACACCTCCTGATTGCATTGCGAGCAGAAATCGTGTCTGCAGGTGGGGCAGTGAGCAGGGCTGGTGGCGCGGACGGTCACCACAGTGTCGCAGCCAGGCTGTGGGCAGAACGCACGGCCGGAGTCCATCGCCACCTCTGAAACAAACAGGACGTTTGGTTAACGCCACCTCTCTAACAAATAGCACTTTCCATTAAATATATTGGAATAGGTATTACAATTACGTCATTATACATTTAAACATGAACGAATTAATTAAATGTCCTTTATTGCACGCGCGACCTGTTTTTAACCGACTTCAAAAAAAGGAGGAGGTCCTCAATTCGACTGTTTATTTTTCTATGTTACGCGATAACTCCGGTTGTGAACTGATTTTGATGATTCTTTTTATGTTGGAAAGAGGGTACCTCTGTAGTAATCCCAATTAAATTTGAATAAAATATTCCACCTCTAAGGGTGGCAAGCTAGGGGATAAATGACTGTTGAGGTCAGTTTTTTTTGTACACTGTACTGAGATTATTGGCGTTTCAGATCTTTGCAAACTGCTATGGACATAGCGTGTCACTACCATCAGGCGCACAACTAGTTCATCCCGTCACTTGGTACTTATCTCAAAAAAAAGCCATGAGTAAAGTGAACATAAAAATTTAAGTTCTACGTATACGCAACCACAGGGATTCAAAAAATCCACCTTACAATCGAAAAGCAACCCTGCCGTCTTTATCATAAACAACGTAATCGACATTTTTAGCTTAATTGAGTTATTAACATATCTGCAGCCAGTAAAACGAGATTTACAACCCCCTATAACCGGTTTTTGTCTATCTTATTCAGATTCAGTTTTATTGTTAAGCAAAATCAGCGTCATTTACAACATATGTACTAACTTTAAATGTATTATTAAAGTACTTTTCACCACCATTTATTAATATAGACTCGTGTTCAGCGGTGGGATGTACATACATCATGGATCAAGGTTTAGTGACACCCTTTATTAACGACTCTCACGCACACTAAGAGGAATATCAACACGCAGCAGTACGAACGCACACATTACACATAGAAATTTATTTGTACGACGAATGAGCGGTATACGGAAAAACTTAGCTAAGTTTATGTAATACTGGAGTGTTTTGTTTTTTCGCGCTTTAAATGTAATAAATAAACAAATAGTAAATTTACATAAAAAAAAACTTTTATGGTCAATAACTCGTAAGTTACCAAAATCCAAATGCATTGTTTAAGACAAGGAAGTCAGAACCGTTCACCAACTGACCTACCAATATGCCCTTTAAACTTTGTAGTACAAATATAATAAAATGTACCTACTGACTGACTTCCTTATTGCTCAAAGAATAACATTCAAATTCAAGGGACAATTACGATCAAATCAAAAAGTAGTATCTGACATTTAAGTCCGGAATAAAATTGCGGAAACAATTTGAAAAAGAATTCATACAGTCATGCCGGAAAAGGTTTAAACCACTGTTATTATCAACGTATGATTAATAAATTGTTGACTGCCGATGATTATTATGATTTGTTTCATTGAAGCCGCACAGGTAATTGATGACAAACAACCGTAACATCAATTCATAATTTATACAGGTGAAATAAAATGGATGACAGATTTATATACAAAGTTCAAATTTGAATAATACGTACTTAGTTGATTTTGTGAAAAAAAAAAGTTTAATATACGACGTAATAATAATAAACATATGGTCTCACAGTAGGGAATTCCTTGTACTATGTTTCTATAATAAAACTCCGGTTCATATTCAAAATTTGTTATTCACGAAGTTTAAAACTATAGTGAAACAAAACTTTATACTATTGAGTATTTCATTACAGAGCTTGTGTTTTGGATGACCATTTAGTTCTTAAAGGTTGTCTCGATCTATCATGTCGCACTGCTATTACAATAGTGTTGTAACTCAAAATACGTGAAATTCAAGATTACACCATTTCTGAACGTAAAATTTGTTTCTCTACACGTCAATAAAATTGTCAGTAGAATATTGTAAGAAACCATGAAAATATATCTACTTAACCCAGAATGAGACAGACGTTTTGTGAGCTACTTCTGGATAAAACAGTCCTTACTCAAAAATATGAAATTATTTTTTACTTTTATTTTCAAATATACTTCTAATTGGCAAATAGGAGTTATTTAGATGTCTAATACATTTTAACCTATACGTATATTATAATAATCTTTCACGGGAACTGAGCAATTCGTTTTTCAGCTATTCTAAATAAATTAACTTTTTGAGTTAATACACTATTATATGAGCAGTGCGATGTATGAAATGAAAATTGTTAATGTTAAAATAATGCGTACTAATGTTTGTTTACAAAGAGCAACAATTGACGTTTCTGGCTCATTCTTTTCAGGGGAATCTGCCTTACGAATGAACAAAGTTTAAACGATATGACAATTTCAATTCTAATTTACTTACCTATGAAATAAACTTTATTTGACTTACACTTTATGAGTACTACAGCAATGGAATTTACGCTGGGTAGCGGCCCAGAACACCCAGACTAGAATTGGAATCGAGCACGGAACCTCCTCATCCAACACCCGTAGTGCAAAGTAGTAACTAGTAACCCAGACTGAAAGCAATCTAGTAAAATTTGTATCCGGAATTTATATTAGAACAGAACATCAGAAATGTTACGCTTACTTTGTGACAACAACAAAAAAGCCAAGTCTACATTTTTCAATCCGCTTTAAAAATATCTGTAATTTTTTTATACCTCCTGTACACATATATGGCGAAATGGTCGTATACATTTTTTTTAATTAACATATTGGCATTAAGTGACTTTTGCCACATGCACTTCGCCGTGTATGGCTTAATTGATTGGCACTTACAATGTTACTTACGTGAACAGATCCATTGAGACGTGTGATTCATTTAATGGTCTTTTATGAGTGCATAAACTTTTAAGCATCCTATAATATAATAAACTGTAGTTTAAAAAGAAAATCTGACCGTTAAAAAATAACTGTTAAGGTAGTGGCGGTGTTCTTTGAGGACCAAATGAATATTGAGCAGCTGTTGCAAAAAATGTAATTTGACTTCCTCCTTGTTTTTATTTATATACATATTACTCCGGCTGTCTCCCAATAAACTAGGCAGAGTCTATAGACATACACACATGACGCAATGCTTGTTGTTTCAATTAATACAATTCTGTGTCTGCGCGTATCTGGAGGTCGATTCAGAGCCTTACGATAACTCAGTTGTCGACCGATTCTATTTGATATCGTACATTTCTTTTCATTTTTATTCACACCACCCGAATCGAACGTCAAACTGTTATATTCGAAACCGTACCGAAATGACGTCACACCCGTACGATTACTCGAACTTCTCGATAGACAAAGGCTACGATTTAGTTATTCACAACATAGTTATGGAATGAAGTTATCGAACATCCTATTATTTACAAGGCAAGAATGTAGTATGGGAATTTCTTATTATTTTAATAAAGTCTGGATTTTGTTCAATTTTGTTAATTTAAATGCAAGACTAATGCGTTTCTATATTTTAGGCCTTTAAAGTCTTAAAAATTTCATTTTTCTTATAATCTATTTTACCGACAACTCCGTAAACGTTGTTGGATTACGATATCGTATCCGAATCCGAATCGAACGATTAACCCGAATAGCTCAGAAAGCGCCCTTCGATTCGAGAACGATATCCAATCGAATGATTGACTTAAAATATCGAAGAGTTCTGGGGGTCTACTCTCGATCTCCGTCCGACATCCGTCCGAAACAATTACTGTCAAATAAGTAATATTCGACAAAATTAAAAGACAAGTATCAAGTATGAAGCTTCATTCGCATCACGCGTCTTTTCATTTGGTCAAGTATTGCTTATTTCGCAGTAATTGTTTCGGACGGATGTCGGACGGAGATCGAGAGTAGACCGCCAGAATCGGGGTCCTGGTTAGCTCGGTTGGTATGGTTTTGAATTCGATTCCAAATAAAATTAAAAAGTTTCGGAGATGATTTCGATATACTGTTAAATTACGTAATTACAAGTGTAAAAAACCATTGGACCTTTAGTTTATGGGTATGTGCCAGTTCCACCCGAATGCCAACTCACCCCCTTTCATCTTTCATCTGCACGCAATACCAACACACATGTTAAGTATTCACTTTATTTCTTCATACGGTCTTCCTTTTATCTCATTGATGGAATATACTGTAATGCATGGCACCGCGATGAACAAATTTGTCAGTCGACGTAATTGCTGCAGGATAGAAAGAGAAATACTGCGTTGTTTTGGTCATGTATGTCTCATATATATATTAGTTTAAGTGGTTGTACAGGCAAGGTGCCATAGTCTAGGTGAAAGGAAGAAAAAACAAAAAAAATATGTGAGTGATGAAGCGACTTTGTTCTCTTTGATTTACTAATTTTATACAAAACAATGTAGAAAAAATGAATCGTATATGAAATTAAATACTTTCAATGAGAAAACACAATTTGAAAAACAAAAACCGAATGAAATGAAATGTATCTGATTGCGAATAATGTGATTGTTTTTATTTATACATAATAGTTAATTATCCATTTATAAATGAAATACATATATTTATTTAATTCAGTATTTATTCCTCTTATAATGAAATCGTGTTTTCATAATTCCACAATTTTGAGTAACAGTATTTGGTTTCGAACGCAGAATGTTAGTAGATAACACCAAAAAATTAAAAATTAAAATTTATGAGTATATCGTACATACTCTAGAGGCGTAGGGGAGATGTAGAGACCGTATGTCAATAAGTTATTTTTTTATATTAAATTTTTATTGAATTGAAACTCAATTTTTTTGTGAAATTACTACACTAATTTGTTATAAAAATAAAAACTGTTAACCGTAACATATGTTAAATAGACTCAGTTCACAAATGTTTTCAAAAATAACGAACCGGAACTTGAATTATGGCATTTTCTCAAATAAAACTCACTTTCCCTTACATTTACATGCAGATAACATACATACATACATACATACATACATACACACAAACATACATAAAAGTATAAAAAAATCAAGGCAAGACCGCGAGTGAAGTCAGGGTCGAACGTTGCCTTCCTGAGCCTCGTTTGCA